TAGCCTTTTAGAAAAGCTAATAACCAGGTGCTGAGGTATTCATTCCAGTGTGTCTATTCAAGTCGTGCACCATCCTGAAAAGCACTGCACGTCACACACATAACCGTGATGTCAGAGGTGGACATTTTTATGAACAGTCCGCATTGTTAACTGTCTGATAAGCTCAGACTGAAATGGAAACAAGCATAGACTTTACATTGTTGGTTCCAGACTGATTAGTCATGGAGCCCCTCTGTGAGTGGGTGTCCTGTCTGTTTTCAGCGATGAAACAGACTAAAGCATTTACCGTAAATCATATTCCTCAAACTCACTTGTTTCCTATCAATCAAATTACCTTACTTTAGTGGTTACAAGTTGTAGTAATGTACAGTGGAGCTGTGTCCACTCCAGAAGATACTGAATCAGGGAGGCACAAAAGAGAAGGGTGGTCATGCTTATAGCATTAAAACACCTTTGTCTGTAAATGTTAACCTCAGCTTAACAGTCAGGAAACTGGAATTTAAAGAATTACGTTGAGTGGCTGGCTGTTTTTTTTTCTGGGATTCCTAACATTTTACATTTAACAACAACATTAGCGGTGTGTTCACACAAGTGTCTGACCCAATGTAATCCATTCAGGACCACACAGTCTCTGTACACTTAGCCTTGTAAATGACTTTGTTAAGATTAAATAGACTTTGAAAGAGTGTTTTCAGGTAATGAGGTTAAGAGGTTCTCTGAAATGTAACTCAAATACTATACTGTCCCTCTAGCCTTGGCTTGGTTAATGGTTACTGTGAGCTAACAACTGTATTGATGCAGAACTGAAACAAAGGAGAGTGCTGTGTTTAGCTGAGGTAGAATACTTTGTGAAATTGTAGTGCGTGAATGTGAAAATGACATTCTTGGCTTGGCTGAAATGGATTTTTCTCTGGACCGTGTCTGTATACTTAACACTCTCCACCACTATTCAGTGTAACATATGATTTAACGGGTCTGCCCACTAAGTTGTTTATAAAAAAGAGGCAAAAAAGTCATTTTCTAAAATAAACGCAATTATGCTCTTAAATTAGATTTCGACAGGATTCTAAAAAGTTCTGAAATGTGCTGATATAAACGAAATGCTTACTCACATACCTCAAGTATGGCAGATGTTGTGAAAGCATGCAACACTCAGATCAGACCTTCACCTGTACATGATACTTCTCCTTGATAACTCTCATCATGATATATAGTGTATTGTTTAGCTGCTGTGACCTGTGCACTATTTTAAGATAAGATAGGATATGCCTTTATTTATCTCACAGTGGAGAAATTCACAATTTTGTGCAATTTCTAAATATGTCTTCCCTCAAGTGTTAAAAGAACAGTTGTCACCTACAAAAACCGTTAGCACACACAAAAAGATGTGCTCAGAAGTATTTGTTTGTGTGAAGATGTAATATTTTACTCCTTTAGCCAGTTAGTGGTTCTTCAGAAAACAGATGGTTTGAAGTAATGTGCAGCTCACTGCCCTGTTATGGTAGTTTCTTTTTATGGAGCTTTCCCTGAAGTTATTGCCATAAAAATCACTGGCATTTGGGCTTTAAAAGATGAATTCCAAGAACTATTTTTCCTTCCAATAAAGCTAATGGTGACAAATTGTCTGAAAGCGGTCAGAAACCTGTGCAGATGTTTGATCAGTACCCATTGCTGAAGGCCAATTTGCTTTAATGTCATATTAAATTTTATTTAGTGTATGTATTCATTATTCCTGGGCTACATGGTGGCTCGGCCAGAAGATCCCCAGTTCGCATCCTAGTTAGGATGCCTGAGATCTTTCTGCGTTGAGTTTGCATGTTCTCCCCGTGCAGTGTGGGTTCTCTCTGGGTTCTCCGGCTTCCTCCCACAGTCCAAAAACATGTTGAGGTTAATTGGTGACTCTAAATTGTCCGTAGGTGTGAATGTGAGTGTGCTTGGTTGTCTGTCTCTAAGTGTAGCCCTGCGATAGACTGGTGACCTGTCCAGGGTGTCCCCTGCCTTCACCCTGAGTCAGCTGGGATAGACTCCCCCCGCGACCCTAGTGAGGATTAAGCAGTGTGTAGATATTTTACTGTGTCTGTATTTAAAGTACAGGCTACAGTCTTGCTGTCTTTATTTGAAATGTGTGTAGTTGTTTGAAAGGCTAAATTTGACACTAGACACTTCACAGCTTTCCACATCAGGGTGGCACAGCAACGGGCAAAAGCTTTGCCACTGTGGCTACAGATCCCTCAGAGATTAGTGATAAATTTTAGCACATGCTGAAGAGATGCTGTGGCAGTGAGCAAGACCAGACACTCTGCTGTTATACTGTCTGCACGCTGCTGGTTGCTTATACTGAGAGTATATTGAGAGAAGAGAACTAAATCTGATGGATAAAAACCACATTTGTGATGAAGGAATGGAGTCAGAAAGGATACAGGCTACACTGGCAATGACCTTTGTCTTCTTAGCCCACCAGGTTATTTGCATTCCTCTGCACAGCCTGTTTCAACATATGCAGCTCTTGGTCCACCAGTGCTGCTTTTCACCAAAACATGTGGTGTGTGTGGTATCAGCTCCACATACAGATAATTCCTGCCTGTACAGTCTGTATCTGAAGTGGTCAGTCTAAGCCGCAGTTGCAGCTGAGCTGGTCCTGAAGTCAAGTGTGTGTTGTTGGCTTTAGATAAGTCAGAAAGTATTCCTGCTCTACCGCTGTTTACTTCTTAGCTCAGTTCGTTCATGCATGTCCTGTTTTCTCACTTATGTTGTGCGTAAGCAGATTCAGATAATGAATCTGTGAAATGGTGTAGTAACTAGGAGAGTACGGTTTTAAATTTGGGCCAACCTTATTCCACACTGCGTTGTTCCTCTTCCTCCTTTTAACTTGGCAGCGCCTGCAGTCGGCAGCACAGTGGCTTTATTATAGAGGAGTATTAGGTGGGAGGAAGAGATGGAAAGAGGAAGGGAGTTTCACATGCCAGACAGAGCAAAGCCCAAAACTAAAAGCAAAGACAGAAGTGGCAAAGGAAGCAGATGCCTCGTTCTAATTCATCGTGGTGTAGTGAGTGTAATAGCTCACCACTACACTCCCTTTACACCATCAACCCTGTGATTTGTCACGGCGCGTAAACAGAGCTTTCTCTAGTGGTCAGCTTCTGCTTGCCAGCTCATCTGTTTCTCCCAGTGAGGTTTTGCATGGGAAAAGTGTTGTTGGGAAGGCTTGGTGTGGATTGTGCAGCAAGTAGTGTAGTGTGAACTACATGAGCTCAGTACTGACTCATGGAAAGTTTCAGCATGCCAAGAGGTGTGTGTGTGTGTAGTTGTGTGTGTGAATGAACTGAAAGGCAGTTTGACTTTTCCTGTGAAGCCCATCATCCAGCTGCACATCCCGCTTTTCTCAAGACTTCATAAATCACTGACTTTGGGCTCTTCCCATGCTCTTATGTGAAATGTTTGGCTTGTTTAACATTATTTATTCCAAGGAGAACCATAGAGGTCTGTATGTTCTGTATGAGAAATAAAGTGAGTCACAAGTTAGCCAAATAGTTCAAGGTGAATCAGTGTAGTGTGGCTGCATCCTCGTACAGAACGATACTAAGAATAAAACACGTTTTCTCTGCAACATCAGGATTTTATTAAACCTGCTCACCAGTGATGCATATCTATCAAAGGAGATATTAAAGTTGAAAGCTTGTCAACACTGGCACAGAATAAAATAGAGCATATTTCAGGCTCATGACATAAGCTACATCTGTGGGCTATCAACACCAAATTATCCTCTCCAGCTCCACTTGGCAATATCACCTATCTAAGACTGTGCACGTAATGATTTGCTTAATGATGGTTTCAGCCTCATAGATTTCCATTTATTAGCCTGAAGTCAAATCACGTGACAAAGCTTCATTTCTTTAGCTGGGCAGAATGGTTTTGACCTCTTTGCACTCTAAATATTAAGGAAATGGAGCTCTCTGCACAGTGGCCTCTCAGTGCTTCATTGTCACACCACCATGACTTCATTCATATATATATCTGTCTATATATATATATATATATATGTAGGAAACATTTGTGAGGAAAATTCCCCATCTGGCCAGGAAGGATGTGAAACTGAGTATGGACTCCATTTCTCTTAAATTCAGACATAGCTCCATAAAGACACATAAACAAAGCTCCTGTTCCCTTTACCCATTTTTTTTTTTCTTCTCATCAGTTTCCCCCCCTCTCTGTTTTTCCAAGGTTCAGCCTTCAGTATTCAGGAGAGCAAGAGGAAATGGCTGGGTTTTCCATAGAATAGGCAGTGTTGTAATTAGGCCATGTCAGTAATGATTTGAGAGAGGCTTTTTACTGTAAGCCACTCCTCGGCATCTTAGTCAGGGAGCAGTTGCACAGAGCTTCAAAAGCTGTCTCTTATTGATTCTCGGACAACAGTCTGTTCAGCATTGCTAGAATGTTTATAGAATTTGGACCCTGATTGTGAATAGTCTGCTTGGTGGAAGAATGCATCCTTCAAGACAATGTAAAGCACATCTGTTTTTTATCCAAACTTGTCTTAAGTGTCTAATAGTTCACCTTCCTGACTCCAATGAAATATAATAAATCTGCTAAATATCGCTCCATTGAGTTGTTTGCTCTTGGGAGCTGCATATCTAAGGAAATACCGACACAATACATCAATAGATGGGCAATTTACTTTTAGCAGTTTCATCTAAACTACTTAAGTTATCTTAAACACTCCTGTGTAGCTCCACAGCGGCTGTCAATAAAAGATGAGTTACAGGTCAATTGCCAGGTATTCAAACACATAAATATGGTTGATGATATTACAAGAAAAAACCTAATGATAAGTATTTAAAGAGCTTACATTACACTACATTACATTCATTGCCATCCAATCTTTTAAACTCCTACACTTGCTTATAAAACATTTTTTAAATCGTGTATTGTGTCTGCCTGTAGGTTTCCCTTTGGCATTCTTAAATGCTGACACCTACCCTCTGTTATTGTTCTTCTCCCAGAATCTCCTCAGCTGTCCTCATCCCTCCCCACCAGTGAACATGTCCAGGAAAGCGTCGATTTGGGCCCCGACTGTTACGGCCAGGTTTGTGTGGAGCCACTGGACGGAGAGGGTGACCGTCCAGTGAGCCTGGTGTCCACCCTGTCCTCCGGTTCATCCCGTGATAGTCGCAGCCTGTTTGGGAGCACAGTGGCCCTTCCTTCCTCCACCACACCACCCATACCGAGCGAGGAGGACATCGACTTGGAACTGAGCCCGGCAGAAAGCACCAGAGAGCAGGCCGGGAGCCAGAGTCCCACCCTGGCAGGTTCCAGAGGCCGCTGGCAGGAACAGCTGGAGCCCAGGGTGATCAGCAACCAGTGGAACAACAACAACGCCACCGCCAACAGGAAGGCTATTGGCGAAATACCTCACATCCCCGCCTCACCTGTCGTCACGGGCACCATGGCGCCCAACCCAAAGTTGACCTATGTGGACCGTGTTGTCATGGAGATCATCGAGACAGAGCGCATGTACGTCAAGGACCTGCGCAGCATCGTGGAGGTGAGTGGATGTCAGGGTTCTGGTGGCTACACGCACACACCGAATTTTCCGTTACCGTTATTGTTTTTCAGTTACAGCCAAGTATTCACCTCCAGCCAACCGTTTCATATTATAGCGAGTAAATCATCTGCGTTCTGTGTATTTAAAGCACATGTTTGACTTGGATTAAAATGCAGCGATGACTTAATGTCTGCAGCGCTCTTTAAGGGTGATTTACTGAATCTGGACAGCCAGGGGCAAAAATAGGGGAATTTTTATTCAGTGGCTGTTAAGGGCAGATAACGTCTGCTGTGTTCCAAACAGCTGTTTGTGGCTACAAACGGCTCTGGTACTTGTAAGACACCCACTGGATTTTTCTTTTTCTTCACCAGGTTCCGTTCAGATTTTCTGATTTCTCTAAACAAATCAGCCAGATGACAAAAAATGTTCGCCTGACATCTGGCAATTGTGTGCTTTGTTTATAGATTAGTTTGTGGAGAGGAAGGCTGTCGAGCATTTTATGATCTGGTTATAGTGTTTTGTATAAACCATTTGGGATATTTACAATCCAGTGAAAGTTTACAGCCTGTAGCCCGCGATTATGGACTTTGCTCATATGTGGTGTTCAGTTACTGATATCTGGAGTCAAAGTGGGATACAGTGCAGGTCTGTAACGGCATGAGTCTTCGGCGTTATGATCTTAGTTAAAGACACTTCATCTAAAAGATGCAAAGAGTGTAAAAAGAGCCAGGGATGACTTTGACACTCAATGGACGACTTGCTTCTTATTATGTTTTCTACCTTCGTAGTCTGGAAAAGTCTTCCAGACAGAGAAGCCTTCTTGGCCCTCAATCTTTCCTGGTCTTGCAAAGAAACAGGAGCAGTCTGCAGTCGGTCTCCAGTGCACCAGTGGTAATGGCTTTAACATGTGAGGCATGAGACTGACTGGCAGTAATCCAGCTAGCACCTCTCCTCACCTTGTCTCAGACTGTGCTGGCGTCGAACATTTGCTGTGGGAGGGAATGCTGCCCCTGTTGCAGCTTAAGCAACGACTTGCTCCTGACAAACACTTTCAGGACTTCTAACTATTTCATTTGACAAGAGCAGCAGCCCAGTCTGGTCTTGCCCCAGTCACACAGTCACACTGCTGCAAGCTCCAAGCCAGCCTGAGCTCTCAGGCCCTCCCAGCCAACACAAACACCTCCATCTTTGCACCAACTGAAGAAATAACACAGATGAAAGGAGAGCAGTTGAGTTTTCCATAGGCTACACTGTGGGAACACAGTCGAGTACAGATGTGTCCTTTATCGTTTTATGATTACTGTATGGCTTCAGTCGTTTTGATTCTGTGCAGCTTGTTTTAATTTCACACCAAGCCTTGGCTCTGACAGATACGTGTGAAGCTCTTCCTTCAATTTGCAATGTTGCTTTAGCAACCTAATTCACAGCTTCCACTCGATTTTGACACTGTACTTCTGAGCAGCTGTAAGGCAAGTCCTTTTCCTGGTTTTTCTGTCTAGCTTATCACTTACACCCATTCTTAAACCTCTCTCTCTCTTAACTGTCTATCTGTGGGATAACGTTTTGAGAGCAGCTGTTTGACCGCAGCTGGTCTCACATGCCTAAATGCATCCCAACACCTGGCCTGGACACACCCAGAATCATCATGCTCAACATTGTTGACACAAGAATGAGTCCAGTGCTTGTTATTTTCAGAAAGCGCTAAGAGATCGCTCATTGTAGTTTTTATTTAACTCTGGATATAACTGTAATGTGAGCAGTACTACATGGGCAGAACATCCATGCCTGTTATATCATCAACAGTAGCCTCTAAACTATGAGACACCATTAAATCTCATAGTGTGCTAAAGGTCACAAGTGTATAGTGTAACACCAGTGGTGAGTTTTTTCTATAGGAGACTATGAGACGCCCTGCTGACTATAAGTCAGCATTGCTCTTGCTGCACTGGAATTCTCCATAGATGGTGGGCTGCAGTTCATTCAGTTGTGTGATGCGATGACTCTACTCGTAATCCGTGCTGTCCGGCAGGCCTGCTGAGTGTATGTGTGTCTGTATATGCACCACATCATCTGGGAGGCGGTGTGTGTGAGCAGGCTGTTTACTGCTGTCCTCTTTATTTAGTGTCTGTGTGTTTGTCTCGTTAAAATACTCCTTTGCTTGCTTGAAGTTGTTTGTTTAACACATGAGTGTGTAATTGACCAAGAGAAAGGGTAATCATTCAGATGTTGGCATATTTGACTTTGGTGTTTAAGATATTTTTATCTACTTCTGAATCCTCCTGAGGTCCGGAGGGAGTCTGGTTCTGGGAGAGGAACACTGTGCTGGTGTGTCTAGCCTGGATATAACAGAACCTTTTCCAGAGAGTCACGCTGTTCCCTGGTCTGCGGAACAAATCCTTAAAAGGATCCGTTCAGCATCACAGAACTAACTTGTGAACAATGATACGGCTTTTTTTTAACACAGGAAAGCCTTGACATCCTGATACAAAACATACATTTTTATGCACATTAAATCACATGTTATAGCATCTAAAACAAGCAATCAGCTGGAACAACCAAATGCCAGGTGAAAACACATCACTCAGCACAGAAGAATAGAAGGAAAAGTGTTTCTCTGTAAACATGCTCCCTCTGTTGGTAAGAATTTGGAAGTGCCCGTGTGTTGCTTGACCATTTTACCAAATGTTAATATGAGCTTTTAAGTCAAACTCCATCTCTTTACTGTTTTTCCAGGACTACTTGGCACACATCATCGACATGTCCAACCTTCCCATACGGCCGGAGCAAGTGTGCTCTCTGTTTGGAAACATAGAGGACATCTATGAGTTTAACAGGTAAATCCTCCTTCTTAATGCAAATACCAGTATTCGCCTCACTTCCCTTCTCAGTGCTTTCTTGTAGGATTTTTTGCAAAACAGCAATACAGAAAAAAGATGCTGTGTTATCACTGAAGAGGCAGTATTTAGATTCACAGCAGAGCAGAAGAAGCCGTGAGCAGTCATTGGTGTAATTACTTCCCTGTGCAATCCATTTGGCCAAGGAATGTTTTTGTGCGCTTTCATGTGTGTGTTGTGTGATTTTCTGCCGTTAGATAATGCAGCATATCAGAACAGTTAAGAATGGATGGATGATGCGTGACTTCTTTTCCTTCTCTCGCTGCTAACACTTAAAACAATGCCACGAATCACATTACAGTTCAGGCACTTTCGCAATTATGGGAAAAACATAGGAAATGGTGGTGCAGCTGGCTGTACGTTTTATCATCATATGTCAGCAAGTGCTCATTGCTGATCACGCTTGCTTGCCAAAACACACATTAACATTCCTTTTCTCCTCTCATAGTTAGAAGCCTCCCTGGTAATGCCAAGACTATTGAAGCACCCATAGAAAAGATGACATTTTAAAATACTTTTTAATGACTTTCTGACCAGCTGTACTGGAGTGAGAGAAACATAATGACAGATTTTGTATTCAAAAGTCCATGTAGTGCCATTTTCAGAGAGGAGGGTTTTCCTCTTTTCACAGGATTGCATCGCACTAAAAATAGTGATCTATTACAGTATTTTAAGGTGGAAATCTTTGCAGCAGCAAGTGAGCCGATGCCATATGTTTGCTTATTATTGCCGCAGAGTTGTGGTCATTTGTAGGAGGCTGTCCAGAGGAAAATAGATTTCTGCTCTAAGAGAATTTACAGCCTTCTTTGCAGTATGCACGACACACTCACCTATTTGTGCACAGTGGTTTGTATCATTACCCTACATTTGACATTGACAGTAGGTGATAAACAGTCCTGCTTTCGTCCTAGATTTTTTTATTTCTTTGTATCGCTTAACCCTCTCCAAGCTGTAAATACTGTTGACCTAGCAATCATGCCGCATGAACAAATATTGACACTGCGTCCATAAAAAAAAAACCCACCAGCGCCAATCCTTTTCTCACTGTTCCGTGAACACGCTGGCACCTTTGCTGCTAATCGTTTTCCGTCAAGAATCCCAGGCTTTGATCCAAAGTTTGAAATGCTTTGTGATGTGTTGTGTTTGACTCTCATGTTTCCATGTGTTATGTTACCTGAACGTCTTTCGTGTAGAGTGTTTGTGGTCATTAGTGATCAGGTTTGTGTTTTCTTGCAGTTGTATTTTTCCACAGTAATCCACCATTCATGTGTGCTCCTTCAGTCAAGCGCATTTTAAAGAGGTGATGTCACAGCTCGTAAAGCATAAAGTACATCTTGCAGCTTTGGGTCTCTCAAGCGCTAAATAAAGCTTGTTTTTGATGGGACTGTGGGCATGAAGAATTCCAAGTCGAATGCATGTTCTCAGTCCAAACATGCACAGACTCTTGTTTAGCAGTGTGTAGCGCCCTCTGCTGGTGCCTTTCATAGCAAAACTCAAACATCACTGAAGGTTAAAACAGACTTCACTACCATAGTAAAAGTATTAGTATTGATTTATCCATGGTTGCTACTAAGTACTCCTTCCTTATTTACTACCTTTGCTTGTAATCTATCATTGTTTTCATGGTATTGCTGCGATCTGCATTTCAGTGAATTGCTGCAGTCCTTGGACATGTGTGAGAATGACCCTGTGGCTATTGCTCAATGCTTTGTAAATAAGGTGAGCGAAACTGTTTTTACTTATTTACAGCAATATCAGTTCCTCAAATAACACACTGCTGATGTTTGTGTCTGATCTGTGTTTCTCCAGAGCGAATACTTTGAAATCTACACCCAGTATTGCACCAACTATCCCAAGTAAGTAGCAAGAAGATGTTCCTGCTACATCGTTTTGTTGTTAATGTAATGTGCTTGAACGTGTTGACTAATGTTGTTCTTTGCTGTCCTTCAGCTCAGTGGCAGCCCTGACAGATTGCATGAGGAGTAAAACTTTAGCCAAGTTCTTCAGGGATCGGCAGGCGACACTGAAGCGCTCCCTCCCTTTGGGCTCCTACCTGCTGAAGCCAGTTCAGAGGATCCTGAAGTATCACCTGCTGCTTCAGGTACAGAATGATTCATACTGCTTCAGCGCAACTTTTCCTTTAGATTTCCTTTAGATTCATGATTATGCTCTTATAAACAATGGCCTAATTTTTGTGGACTATGGTGAAACAGTGTCGCTCACTGAATAATGACTATGAGTGGTAAACAGTTGAACAAAAGAGGGATTTTTTTAATCCCCTTGAGGCTAAAATGTATATAGCATTTTGATGAGGTAAAAACAGCTGTTTAATCATACAAAGATTGATAGGGATACACATTTTCTTTGTTTGTGGCAGGATTGGACCTTGTTTAATAACCTCCTTGATCTTTTTTAAAGGAAATCGCAAAGCACTTTGACCCGGATGAGGAGGGCTATGAGGTGATTCAGGAGGCCATAGACACCATGACAGGAGTGGCCTGGTACATCAACGACATGAAGAGGAAGCATGAACATGCTGTCAGAGTGCAGGTCAGATGGAATTGCCTCACATCCACACCACCATGCTTTTCAAGAGATGAATTTCTATCGTTGCTGCGTACCGTAAATTCTGGACTATTGAGCGCACCTGAATATAAGCTGCACCCACTAACTTTTTAAAAAGAAAACACATTTCGTACATATACAGGCCGCACTTGTCTATAAGCTGCAGGTTTCCACGTTGTAACATGAGATATTTACAAAGAAAGATGTTACACAGAAAGATTTTTTAAACTTTTAGTTAAATACATACCGGTAACATACACAAATGCTTTTTTCCCGAACAGTCTGCAACACGGCTGGTTAAAAAAATACAGTCGCCTACCAGGAAAAGTCACTGATCGCTATCTTCATCTTCCTCCTGTGCACTAAAACCACTAAAGTCGTCTTCTTCAGCGTCGGAATTAAACAGCCTCAGAATTACTTCGTCACACACTTCCTCAATCTCTCCTTCGTTCTTAATGTCACTTTTATCTCGAGGCAAATTCGTAAAACTCGTAAAAATCCAGAAAATTAGCCGCGTCATTGTTTAAGCCGCAGTGTTCGAAGTGTGTGGAAAAAAGTCGCGGCTTATAGTCCGGAATTTACGGTAGTTCTCTGATGATGAGCAGCTCTGTTACACACTCTACACTCTACATCTACTCCCCCATTCTTCAGGGACTAAAAGAGATTTTCTTGTACCTCTGTTGTGCACTACTACTGTTGCTCTCGCTGCTCCTCTGCAGGCCTGGAGGGCTCAAAGTCATTTCTTTCATCGATTTATTCCACATATTTGCTTTTCTCAGCAAGGCAACCGTCTGTGACTTCTATCCCTTCCATAAATATGTATTTTAAAGCTCCAGTTTTCTAAGCAGAAATTGCCCGAGGCGAATCCTTGAATGCTCACATTTTGGGTTTAACCTAAATGCTTCTCTGGAGTCGAGTTAAATTTTAAACGGAACTTTGCAGCCTTGTAATGATTTCTTTGGTTTAAGTCACTGACTGAGTGGCCGCTTCACCTTGCTGGTTTTCTCTATACAGGTGTTGAGTCAGGGTTACAAGTAAAAGCTGCCACGAGCCTGACACGTCTGATCTTTTGTGTTAAAAGAACATGGCTGACAGCGTATGTGTAAGCGTGTGTGTGCTTTCATGCTCGTCTGTAGGAGATACAGTCACTTCTGATCAACTGGAAGGGCTCTGACCTGACCACCTATGGAGAGCTGGTGCTAGAGGGCACCTTTCATGTGCTGAGGGCCAAGAACACCCGCACACTCTTCCTCTTTGAAAAGATGCTCCTCATTACCAAGAAAAGAGGGGAACATTATGTCTACAAGATCCATATCTCGGTATGTTTTTTTGAAATCATTTAAATTGATAAGTGATTGTACTGTTAAAATTATATATATATGTGCAGAAAATACAGCAACAGCTAAACTACACTGGGTGAAACTTTCTCTTCATCGCTACGTTTTTTGTGGTTTCAGTGCTCCACCTTAATGCTACTCGACAGCGCCAAAGATCCCCTGCTCTTCAGTGTTATCCATTTCAAGCGTCCCAAACAACCCCATACAGTGCAGGTAAATACAGCGTGTCCACACCAGTAACTCTCTCATGTCCTGCATCACACTCTCACTACACAGAACATACGGCTTTCCAGTCAGTTTTGGGGATATCATAAGTCACCTAAGCACTAAAGCAGAGTGATTTGTACTCAGGTTTATTTTGTACTCGTACACATACAGTGCTCTCCAAAAATCTGGGACCACATCAAACATTGGTCATATTTTCATGCAAACCTGGAAATAATTAAAACGTTTAAGGATTTGGAAACATTTAAAAACACAAGAAGTTGTAACATTTAAAATGAAGAGGAAAGATTAAAGATTCTGGGCTATTTATTGGTCAGCAATACAATTTAAGCAGCTTTAAGGCAGAAGGTGTAGGCATACAAATAAGAAACTTAGATAGTAACTTATGTTCTTTGGTGTGTATCCTATAATATGGCTGTGCCCCAAGTTGCAGATTATTAATTAGTGAAAGTTATTCTGACAAAAGAGGGGCCTTATCACCCTCAAATGACTACACTGGATGTTTCTGTGTACAACTTTATCAGTTGAATCCAAACCACAAGTCAGACAGACTAAAAGTGACCTCACCATTAGAGGATTAATAAAAGCTTTCTTTGTTCACTGGCTACTTTGGCACAAATTTACTAAATAAAGAATCTATGACTCAAATCACAAGAAGTCCTGTCAGAAGAAGACTGTCTGGTAGTGTTCTCAGAGGATGAGTCACATCTCTAAACCAGTTCTCAGGAGGGGAAACAAGGCCAAATGCTGAGTAGGCTAAGACATACCAGTATTTATCAGCTTATTTCTGATTAATCCAAATATTAGTGCCAGTAACACAAAAGTGCATGTAAATGGACAAACAGGTTAGAGAATGAGCCCAAACACACCTCAAAGTTTTGAAGAGCTACTTAAAAACCAAAGAAGACCAACTAGTTTGACCACAGTCACCTGACCTCCGATCAGCTGAACATTTATGGGGCACTTAAGCTCTTTGGAACATTTCCAGATCGTGCTGGGATGACATGGATTATCAGGTTTGAACAAATTGGTGGAGTCCATGCAGCTTGAATGCTGCTGTCATTCAAGCAAAAACGAGAAAAAATACTAAAATATTCTGAAATTCATGGACTATTGTCAGAGGCTGAACTTTGCACTCACGCTGTGAAGCTGTTATTATCCGTTGTAATGAAAACGTTGAAACAAGTGTCTGAACAAGTGGCCTCAAACATTTGGGTTCTACTGTATATACTGTAAACATGTACATTACATGTGTATATATCGACAGAGTGTGTTTTTCTGAAACACTAAGTGCCGGTTTCTAAGTGAGCAGTGTTTGTTGTTTCAGGCCAAGTCTGTTGAAGAGAAGCGTCTCTGGGCTCATCACATTAAGAGGCTCATTCTTGAGAATCACAATGCCATCGTCCCACAGAAGGTAAAAAAAAACAAAAACATTTTCCCTCACACTGGATTTCTTTCTTCTTTGCTTCTGAAGAAGGGCCTTTTATTTCAACCCACTGTGTTTTTTTTTTCTCTTTAAAGGCAAAAGAAGCTAGCCTTGACAATTCAAACTGTAAGTATTACAAACAGCATTATTCTAGTAATGCCCGGACCAATTTAACTGTTGCCATAGCAGCCAAAGATGCTGCTTATTGTTAGTTTGTGTTGTTTGTTATCCTTGCAGAAGTGCTCTTTGTGTCTGTGGGAACGGTCAGATAAATTCAGTCACAACAGAAAAGACATTACAGATGATACAGACGTTTATTAACCAAGTCAAATGATACACACGTTATATTATCTGGATTTGCTTAACAGAGCCATACTACATACTGTGCTCACAAAAATTAAGCATTTACTCGCCCTTTCATAGACCACTCAGGCCTCACAAAGCACTGCCACACTGTGTTGCTGTTGACTCACAATCTTGCTACACACAAACAATCCTGTTGAGTTTGCTATTATTGCCTACGGAGAGTAAAAATTACCAAACAACTAAGCAGAAAGAGAATACTCTCCACAAGCGTATGATAAAAAAAACAACAACAGTCTATTTCGATTCACTGCAAACTGGTTCTTATAAAAGAGAAAGGTGGTTTATCGTCAGTGGAAAATACGGAAAAATAATTTGCTGAGATGGCATAGCCTATAACCCATCCATCTATCTGGAGAAAATTGTTTTTGTAATTGCAGCTTTGATTGTAATTATATATCCCTCCTCTGCTCAGATCCAGGGAAGTACCAGTATAGTCCTGAGAGGCTAAAGAAAGCAGAGTCCTGCCAGGCTGACGACTTCCTTCTTGTAGGACGAAATGGGAGGAGGAGATCAGGTACAAGACCCCCCTGTTCGTCTTTGATCTATATATACAACAACTCTCTTTATAATAGCGAAAGAATAAAACATATTTAGGACTAAGAGAGTAGTTTTGTCTGCTCTTAATTGCTACCTGCACCTCTACTGAGCTATCCAATTTTTTTTTAATTTCTCCCTTTTTAGAGCCGGCTAAACAAATCACAAGGAGCACAAAAGGTTGGTACATTGTTCGGTTTTTGTTTGCATCACTTGAGTAGGATTTTGGCAGACAAAGGGCCAGATTCATTAACGGTGGTTCAGTTTGATCCACATTCTGGCTGCCGTCCAGTGGTCCAGCAGCCCCACCGCCCCTTACCAAGGTTATTTTGTGGCCGCTGGATAAGAGCCGTTCACATCTCTGTTGCCCTTGTGCTTTGTTCTCCTTCAAAGACACCTGGAAAACGGATCAAAAGACACTCATTCCCACTCCACCTCACCCATAATGAAGTTAATCATATGCCACGTTGGTCGAAGGCTTTGTCGTACACGAGCTCTCTTCAGTAGTCAAATTCAGCCCTGCCCTCAGATGTGCGCGTCTTCCTGTTTTCATTGATTCTAATTGGCCATTGCGAGAGAGAAAACCTCAGTGTTGTCGTCTCCAGTTCTGCTCCGCTCTGAGTCCGGATCAATTTTTTTTAACCAATGTAATGAAGAAGCAATTTTCATGTCAACCTTCTCATCTGGGTGAGGGAGTAGGTCATCACATCCGGGCTAATTGCATCATGTCCAGTTTGAGCCTCTGAGAACAAGATGTTTCTTATCGGTATTTATCTAATCACAGGGCCTCCCTTAGGTCTGGACCAGACTAACAACTACCTCGCTCAGTCGCTGTTTGTGGAGGCAGAGATTGTGTGTCCTGACCATAATTGTATAAGATGCATGCGGTATTCAGGTTATTTTGTCACATGATGTCTGACTGGAGCATGTTTTTCTTCAGCGTTATTGACGTTCTCATTTGTTTATCTCTCTTGCCTCCTGCTCTTTATCTTTGCTCTCCATGCAGCTGTTTTGAAGGTAAGCGTCTGAATTCTAAATGTAGTCTTTTATTAAACCTTGATAAGCTTTTCCAGTCTGTTGTAGCAAAGCAGTTTATTTAGGTCACTGGGCTGTGGTGAGATATGGTTTGCCCAGTTGTGACTCAGCAGTTCAAACTTTCTATTCCAAATGAGAAAAAAAAACAACTATAAATGAGAAAGTCCAATCCTAATCTTCACACAACATACTCTGACTTGCCCTGGATTGCAAAACTCATATCTCACCCAAAGCTAAAGCTGCTTCATGATGATTCCATCCCATTTACAGCCTTGCAATCACAACATGGCTCTAGCACTGGCCTTGCAATAACAAACCACATGTCTATGACTTCACGCTACAGCATGCAGACAGTGAGGGTGCACTGCTGGGGGATAGGCGCTCCCTTCAGCCAGCCACTAGTGTCAGTACGCTGACCTCCAGTCTGTGCGAGCCCCAGGCTGGGAGGCCGTGTGTGGAGGATCTAATTCCCCGAAGGGACTCTGTGGAGCAGCTAAATCCTACTGACAGTGACCCGAAACTGGGCTCTTCCCCCAGTGAGGGAGGGCTGGAGCAGGAGAAGGCAGAGGAGGAGGAGGAGGAGGAGGAGGAAGAGGGGGAGAGTTACAAGGAAGATATACTGATGGGAGACGACCAGGTAGCCGACTTTGCCAGCTCAGTGCTGGCAGCCATCTCCTGCTGGCACTATAGAGCCAGGGCTTTGCTTTCTACTCACTTCACAACGGTGAGGGTTTCTGCCACCCACGGGTTTCCCATTTCCTGCTCCATTCCACCGGCTTACCAATACTCTCTGCCACTCTTTCTCCCACGCTGGCTCTCGTCCCTCTCCCTCTATTTTTTATTTTTTTTTTGTCATGACTACATCCAACTAACACCTGCTACCATTTGCACTGTCCACATCGAATGCCTCAGGTTGAATCCATGCTATTGAAATGCTTGAACTGAAGTTGTGTCAGACTGAAACCTAAAACTCGTACCTTGTGCATGTCTTTGCTTGTATTGTTGTCACTTTGGAGTCCAGGTAAACCCACGCTGCATGCGCCTTTCTTTTGTAATTTTATGTTTCCCTTGTGCATGCTGTTACAGAGTGCTGTGTTTCACAATTGAGGGTTTCGGGACATGATTGATGTTTTAAGCTTATGCTGTTCAAATCCTGCCTGCATTTGCATTACAACCAGTGGCTTAATGCACTCTGTTAAATGTTGTTTGACTTCAAAGGTTAATGTAGCCATCTAATTAAATGATCATTATAATAGCAGATGCTTCGCTTTTTGATCGTCGTATTTCCCCTCTGAATCTTCATAATGAAAAAGTCATTGTTAAGGTTGTTGTTACGGTAGTATTGTTTCTGATTATGAATGAATACAAATCATTTCAATAGGAAGACAATGCATTAAATGTTAAAGAAATGTGTTTCCACTGTGAAAAATTATTCTGCTACATGATCTCCCTGGAGAGTCAAAAAGGCTCAGTTTTAATGCTATGTTTTGACCTTTTAGGATGATCAGAGCAAAGATGCTCCTGAAACGACAACTACACCAAAAGAGGAGGCAGAAATTTGCAGGCAGGAAGAAAAGCATGTGGATATGGCTGTGAGAGAAACTCCCAGCACACAGGTACTTATCAAAGCCTAGAGTAATGTTTATACGCACATCCATTCAACCTCATTTCCACACGTGTCACTGAGGCCACATGACACATGTATTCACTCTATTAAAGAATGCCCATCTATCATCACACTCGCTTGTTTTCTACCTATTGTATGTTTTGAATGAGACTCTGTCAGTGTGTTTGGAGGTGTTGTTATCGCTCTGTGAGATCGCTGATTCTATACTACATTAACCTTATTAAAAAGTAAGTTTCCTACCTAATAGGCGACCTTAGCCGCGAGCACAGCATTTCTCTAAGGCCTGTTTGTCTGGAGTTATGTTCGTGCCTGCTTTATATTTACACACATCCTGCCGTCGTGTGGCCAGCACTCCCACTGAGAGAGGCGACATTGGATTTGGAGGCCAGCTACAGTTTTTTTTATCTGATCCTCATAATCGGTAACTTTGCAAAGCAGCTCCTGCATCTGAGCAGAGTTTAGGGTTGTTATTCTCCGTAACCTTATCTCCGCCACACAGCTCCAAGCTGCACTTTTTTTGCAATTACAGGCACTCCAAAAGAGCGGGAACACCTGGAAACTAATTTAGATTAATGGCGGGCGAGCTTGACATCAACAATAAGAGCACTGGTAGAGCCGCAGACGTCGCATTATATCTGAACTCGCCAAGGGTAACGAAAATGATCCAGGAAAGAGTCATTAGCAACAGGCTGCAAATGGCATCGCAGTGTCTTTGCAGTTTTTTTCCACACTTACATGTTGTACATAGAAAGAGGTCACTTTAATAAAGCTCAAGGAGGCCTAATAAGATAAAACACATCCTGCATGAGTTGTGGATGCTTTAGATTAAACTGCCTAGACGACTTTGAAAAGGGCCATTAAGCTAATGGGGAATGGAGAGTGCTTGCTATTAGAATGTGTCTTTTACTCATTATATCCCTCTTTGCAAACTCTCTTATCATGTTTCAGGTCAGTGTGCAGGAGCTGTGCCCTCTAGACTGTGTCCCTCATGCACAGAAGAGCAATCAGCTGGAGGTGGATTATTCTCAATGCCCTGAGTCTCCTGTGACCCACTACGAACAAGAAACTGAGACCCCAGAACCTCAAGATACCTCGAGAGAAACTGGAGAGGAAGAAGAAGGAGGGAGTGATTCGTCTGGTCTCCAAGTGGAGGAGACGAGCGTTCTGACAAACGGGGAGCTGTCAGAGGAGGAAGAGGAGGTGCTTTCAAATAGTAAGAGCATCTTACCGTCCTCCGTGTTGGACCAGGCGAGTGTGATAGCTGAACACTTCATCAGCAGCCTGTCCAGACGAAGCAGTCTGGTTTCAGAGGACCTGGGTTCCCTCGCCTGCCCCTCACCGTCAGTAGATAATGACGCCTTCCAAAGTCCTTCAGCCTGCATGGACTTGGAGAAAGAGACCCAGATGTTGGGCAGCTCTTCACCGAAGCCACAAGCAACTTCAGAAGTTAGTCTCTCAATGCCTGTGCATGAACCTGCACTGAACACTGTCTTGGAAGGGGAACGCAAGTCCACGCTCTCTAAACAGGATCGCCTCCTCATCCATAAAATCAGACGATACTACGAGTACGCTGAGCACCAAGATGCTAACTTCAGCATCAAACGCAGGGAAAGTCTGTCGTATATTCCAGCAGGTCTGGTTAGGCACCTGAGTCGACAGCTTAACAATGTTCCTCAGGAGAGGGCCGTCCCAGTCCACAGGAAAGGCCTCTCTAGGAACAGGCCAACTTCTTGGTCTGTCTTTGACCTTCCTGGACTGGATAAGAGTCGGAACACTGAAACTTGCCAAAAAACAGAACCACAGCGATCAGTCGCAGTAAAGGCTCGATGTCACAGCATCGCAGATGCTTCTACAGCAGAAGAAGAGTTCAGACCCTCCTCTGACATGCTCAAAGTTTGGCAAGACATGGAAAACGAAGAAGAGAGCAAGGAAGTCCATCAGATTGCAGAGGAGAACATTAGTGACTCCAGATTAGAAGTGACGCAGGATATCAGTTCAGACAGTTTAGATATTCGAACCAGTAGGCAACCAGCTCAGATTTTAGAAGAGTCTGAACTAAGCACTGCCTCAGATAGCTCCCACATGTCATCACCTACCGCAGCGTCCCAAGCTGTGGAGGGAGGATCTGGTCAGGACTGTAAGCCATGTAGGACCCACAGGCTTCAAGACAACCAGAGCCATCTACCAAAGATCATCAGCTTCAGAACAAGCATGGATGAGGACCAGATCCTACAAGACATGGGAAAGATGAAAAACAAGGTGTTCCAGCTGGCTCGTCAGTACAGTCAGCGCATTAAAAACAACAGACCTATGGTCTGGCAGAGGAACCGAGAAACTGCAAATCATCAAGGCTTCAAGAGCTTGCCTGCTGTCCACGAGGAGAAGGTGCAGATAAAGAAAAGGGGTAAATAGGGTGCAATTGATTGCCACCACTGTCTTTTGCAGTAACCTACCACTCAGACAAATGTATAGAGACAACTGAAAAGCTTTGTTTGTATGTTTGTCTGTTTCTTGTATGTATGCAGGTAAACCCAACCTGAGATTGCCTTTGAACGCTTGCGATCAGGCGGTTATCCAAGAAGTGTGTTCTCCAAGTCCAGTCCAGACCCCCAGCTCAGGAGCCAGCTCCCAGAGCACTATTACCTGCCCACAAAGCCCACAGTCGGAGATCTTCCACTGGCCTGATGTTCAGGAGCTACGCACCAAATACACAGAGACCCCTCATGCCTCAAAAGTAACCCGTAGCTGCACAGTCCCAAATGGGATGTTGGAGTCCTGTATGAACAGGTGTAATGGCTGCTCACACAAATACCACAGCTCCTCAGACCTTCACAAAGCTCTGACGGACTGTCCAGCACAACAGTCTGAAACACTACACAAGGAGAAGTGTCCAGGGGTAGAGGACTGGCCTCAGCACCAGACACAGCTCCATCCCCTGCTGTGCAGGTGGAGCTCCTTGGACCACATGTTGGGGTCTCTACCCCTCCATGAAGTGCAAAACCTTCAGGAACCTGTGAGGACCTGCTTTGCAGTCGGCAGCCTCCAAGAAGGGGACGGCCTCCTCCAGGAGGGTCTGGACAGTTCAGCAAAGTCTGCTGTCCTGAGTTCAGGGAAGACTTCAGACAGTAAACTTGTAAAAAACTTACGGGAGAAGTTCCAGAGCTTAAGCACAAGCTCATGAACACATGACTTATGTATGTTTTTATTATCAGGAACTATCACATGGAAGCATTATCTGACTGTTATCTTGTCAAAATCTATTTTTCCTGTTTTCTCTCTCAGAAGAATGCAACTTGTCTGTATAATGTTTTCAGTATGGGGGACGATTAGTGAGGATGTATGTATCAGTGTAACATAAAAGGGATATTATTGGTTATGTGTAAGGCCATGAGAGAAAAGCGTATTGCCTTTAAAGTGGTGTATTGCAATATTTATACACTGGGTATTTGTCTGCACAGTACAAAGTTTATGTTTAAATATGTATATAGTCCCCTGTATCAAATGAAAATGAAGTTCTACTTTATTATTATTATATCCATGTTTCTGATTCTCACCCACAGGTGGGGATTTTTGCTCTCGCCACTCGAGCACTGTTATCATGACCACGTAAACCGTCAGCTCAGACTGTCATGAGAAAGCAAACAGGAGCTGAAGTGTTGCTGCCAAGAGCTCTGCTGTTAGCAAAGACTCTGATTCACCAAAGAAGGTTTCCTTTTGACATTTGTTTTAATACATGTGGTCACAGCAATAATTTGCCTCCATGTTTACTGTAGCTGCTTGTAAAACTTATTACACATCACTGGAGCTTTATTTTTCTCAGTAAGTTGTATATTTTCTCGAGCGTTATTTATGGAACTGTATATTTGGGGAAGATTGGCCTTGTGTAAATACTTGACTAATAGCAACAACTTTTTACTTTTCCATTCCAGAAAACACATTGTTTCATACTTGCAGTTTCCCCTATTTTCAATAAAAAAAAATAGAAATGGTGAGTTTTCCACAGGTGCTCTGTTTGTCAGTGCTTGGTAAGTCTAAATGATACGCTACATCCATGTGAACAGGTTGGTTAAGTTCAATGTACAGCTTTACAGACAAGTCCTCTTAATAGATTTAAAGCAGCTCCATTAAACTAAGGAACCATGGTGACATTAAATGCGGTCACATTTACAGACCTTGGCTCTCTCTAACTGCTATAAAGTTTTATTAACTTCAAACATAATGGATTTTCCTAATGTTATAAGAACTGCTCATCTTTAACTGAGCTGCAGAACATTCCACAGCAGTATTTGCTCATGCATAATATGGACAGCATGTACATGAAATATTAATGATATGGAAATAAAATGACTGTTAATTTCTGTATTTTTTTAACTTTTAAGCCCAGTTTGTGGCAAATGGAGAGGTTGGGTCTTTAATATATTTATTCAATGAGATCAGAAGTAAAAGGAGAGGTTATTGAAATAGTTTTTATTCATGCAACATTGAGCTCTGTTGGATATATTTGATTATTGATGTAGAATTTACAGATCAGACTTCAATCAATGTGCTTTAATTTAAATATCAGCAAGCATAAGACTGATAGAGCTTTTGGGTGCATGTGAGTGTGCTTTTATGCATTTTTATTTTCTATATTCTATATTTGAAATGACTGCTCCGCTCAGCCTTTGTGCGTCAGGTTGCTGTGCGCCCTCAGCGCGCCGTCTCTCTCCAAAGCTGCGTCAAGTCAGCCATGAAAACACCGACTTCAATCGGAAAGCGCACAGATCCCTCCTTCAGCGTAAAGGCGTGACCGCCGCTCTTCGCTTCGCGCAACATGCGCTCATCAACAGGCGTCTTTATTTTCAGCCAATGACCAGAACTTGCGTCTCGTCAGTTCGCCGCCTTGACGCGGGTCCCTGATCTCTCCGCCGGTGGAGAGTAGTTCAAGACGCGCGCTGAGACCAGATGCATCCGCCTGTAGATTTCCGCTGACACATAAAAGTATTTAACCCAGTTTTTTTTTTTTCTCGCTCTCTTTCCTGGATTAGCACATAAAGCATCGTCGCTTCGTTTCTCTTAGATGAAGAATGGGCTGCGCAATATCAGGTTTAGCTGCAAAGTCGGAGTTTGCAGGAAGGAATACAGAGGATGCTGCTGCTGCTGCTGCTGCTGCTGCTGCTGCGCATCCCAGCGAGGATCAGATTCAGATGATCAAGGACTCGTGGAAAGTTATCCGGGACGATATAGCCAAAGTTGGGATTATTATGTTCGTCAGGTAAGATGTGGAAGCATTTTCTGTACTTTTCCGGCGTTGGTTGCGTTTCTAATAACTCAGCATTGAAGTAAACAGTCATGCAAGTGGGCTGACAAGAAGGATGGCAGATGCTGTGTTGGGTTTTAATAGGTCATATTTCTGAAATTTCATGTAGAAAGTTGTGTTTTTACTGATTCTGTTGATATCATACAAGTGAATGGGATCAAATCTGCACAATTGGCTCCCAGAATTTCAAAAAGGCCAATTTATTTCAAAGGCAGAGCGTTTCTTTACATGATAAGGAAGCCTTTTCTGGTTGACCTGATCAGACAGCTCAGTGAAACCTCTGCACCGATCTGCTGGCCCAAGACTACAAAAAGGTCTGCAGAGGGTCTCACAGATCCACTGCCATGATGACATGCCGCCTGACCTTTTCCCATCCACAAACCCTCCCTCCACCTCCACCGCCTCCCTCTGCTCTGCCTCCTGACCCACAGCTTTCCGCTGAAAAGCTCGGAGCTGAATTACCCCTCCTCCCTCCTTATCACTTCATATCACATCTAAACAGTCATTACGTAATAATCCAGGGCTCCAGGTCTACCATATAACCCACAATTAAAGGCATTAGCCATCAGGAAAACTCATTTCATCAATTAGGATGATAACCAGCATCCTGGAAAAACATCTTTGGCCCTTTGGCAGTTGGCGGGGGAATAGAATACATGAAAGAATATGGTGACAGTAACAGTTGGACAGTCTCTAGAGTAAAGAGACTGCCGGGCATGTGGTTAGAAGCCACGTCTGCCCGGGGTGTCCAGAGCAGTTGAAGGGGGCTGACCTTAGCGTGTTAGCCTGGAACTGCATGGGCTTCTTGCATGTGTTTGCCACCCCAGGGCCCCCAAGGCTGTCAAGGCCTGTATGTCCTCACTGGACAGTAATAGTTACAGTAAAACATTCACATTCAGCACCTTAGTCCTCAGCACTGACAAATCATTTCAAAAGGAGATATAGGTTTGGGCCACCGTGGTTGTGAATAATATAGATTAGAAATGAATACAGCGTCTGTGCAGTGCCAATTAAAATTCCACTTGAGTCATTTGGAGTGTTACATTGTCTGCATGTGTTATGCACGGTTGCTTGTGCACTCATGTCTACATGAGATACGCACAATGGGAGAAAATAACGAGCTGTCTGCATGTTGTCGGCGTGGTGAAATAAGAGCAGCTGCTTTGCCTTCATGAGAATGAATAGTGGGAAAGAAAATTTCACTGTCGCTTTGCCCCAGATCAGTCCTCATACGGCCTGACTTGAAGCACTTTGATCCAAAAACAAACCAAAAGGGTTACCGTTTAGACGACTTAAAAAGTTATTCAGAATGCTGGGAAATAAATCCACTTATTTCCATAATTTCTCATATAAAACATATACTGCCCTCTATACTAGTTCACATTTATCCAGAGCATGGTGGCCATGTCAATATATTGTATTTGTGTAGACCACTCTGCCTTATCGTCTGCTTGTCAAAGGCCACAGAGCTACTGATGTTTTATGGTAATAACCATTAGAGAGGCAAGCGCTACTCCAGCACTACTTCAACACCTCTATTCATCTGTGCATCTATAAAGTGTGCGCATGTTATAGAAATCTAATGCATTTATTCATGGGGACTCTGCTTTTGTGTTTCAGGTTTGAAAACCACAGGGCTTTTTCCTCTCACTGGCACAGTGCTGGAGGCCATGGGAGAAACAATAAATGTAAAAAAAAAAAAGAAAAAAAGAACAGGCTTCTGTTTGACCTGCCAGAACCATGATTATTTGAAGTCCGAATTTATTATTAATGCCTAACTCGGTGATACAGAGCAGCACCACAGATGTTCAGGTTGTGTGTGTAGGAAAATAGCTAACAGGCAAACACAATTTAGGTATTTTTAT